CAAATTTCAGATATAGGGCCTACTTAAATTATTATTGGTCGTAGCATGGTATCATTTACAATATAACATTTGCACAACAAAATGATACATTATTAAATTATTATCGGCAGAATAAAATCATTTAAATATAATAAGGGTTTAAACTTACAACACATCAGTTAAAATGCTGAAGAAAAAAAAACACTAGTTGTGTCACAAATAAGAGTTGACCTCAACTAAATCATTCCTTTCTTAGCTTATATAATCAAAACTGGTAACCGGACATTTTTACTCTCATTTTAATTGATGTATTTTCTCATTGTAGTTGACAGTAATACGACGCAGACAATGAATAAAATGTTTGAAATCAGTAAATTTCTTTTATAAATAAAATCACAAACCAATGTATAGGTTAATTTTTGTCCATGTGTGGTTCTGTTAACAATCACATTTTGGTTTTTTCTTGTGTTACTCTATAAATATGACCTTTTCATTCTGAAGACGTTGCACATCGTGGCAAACTAAAATGACAAATGAAAAAAAAAAAAAAAAAAACACATTTGATGTGTTTCACGCGGTTTTGGTTTGGTGCCCGATTTGTTTTAGCTTAATCAATTTATTGCTATTGAATAACGGTATACTACCGTTGCCTTTTATTATTCTACGTTTAATTACCAACAAACTTGCGGCGATATGTTGTGGTGCAAAAAGAAATGCACATCCTGTTCAGCTGGAGTTTAGTTTCTAAACAATTAAGCGTGAACACAACATAACAACTAGGAACACGCGAGTTATGTCCTTGTTTGAACATGTGGGACCTAGCCTCCAGGAAAAAAGTGAAGGATCCATTGAAAGCCTTATTCCCCTGTTTAAACACATAAGACCAAGCCTCTAGGAACAAGCAAACAAGGAATTGAGAGCCTAATTCTGAATAAAATCATCTTTAAAGTTTCATCTTTATGATACTTTATTAAGCATAAACAAAATATACAAAAACACAGTGTAGCTATTTATCTTATGTTATTAAAGTTGATAAAGATCAATATAGCCAGAAATAATACTTGATCCAGCGTGCTTTTAAAATCCTACGATTTAAGTTCTATTGTTCTTTGATTATTTTCTTAAAGAAATCTGGAGAAGGGCTACAAAGTTTTTATTTCTATTGTTACCAACCACGATTGACAATGACCTTAATCCAACATGATATCCATTTATCCATCATGATATCCATACAAGTCCTTGATATTGAAGGAATATAACTTTAACTATATATTAAACGTATGCAGCAGTCAAGATTTGTACTGCTCCTACGTACAATTTTTTTATGATACATCTTACATGTACTATTTTTTCTATATACATCAAATATTATATATGGCAATGTTACATTTAAAACAATATAATAACAATAATAAGAAGAGAAATTTCTAATTGAACTGAAAAGAATAATCCAGTGTACATGTACATTATAATATTTCCGTTAAAAGGGAAAATATATCAGACAATTCATGATCAACATCAAAGCATGTTGAGAGAACAATCTTCCTGTTCGGAAAACTTCCCCAAGCAAATTGACCTAAAATGGAGTCGGTTTTTCATTGTTGGTTCTTTTTTAGGCATCGACTTCAACATGTTAAGGGTATTTATATACCATTGGCATTGTAACGTTCAGATTTGAGTCCTCCTGATGCCAGTCAATTAACAAACGCGCTTCGGACGCATTACATTTATTTAAAACTTGATTATAGTTTGTCTAACTCTAGAAGATTTCGGATTAAAAATTATGTGTAGACATCTGTAAAGTGTTAAGTCCTGCATCTGAGTTTGCTTACTGGGATTATACATTTTCAGCAGAGTATCAACGATTCGATGATCAGCCAATGGCAACATTAGCTTATAAAATATAAAAGTCAAACTTAAAGAACATTAGTTTTTAAATCACCTGTGCAGTTTAAGACACATTTTCTATTGTAACATTTAAAAGAATACCTTGTATCTTTGTTTCAAATAACATCAGGCAAAATGTTCCTTCAATTGATTTTTGACTTTTATTTTAGGGATGTCTTCGTTATATATTATTTTCCTCAGTATTTTGAAATCCTTGGTTTTACACATTTTTGCTTTAAGCGTTTCTGATGAAAGTGAAGCAAGACAAGCGCTTTATCAGATACTTCTGCTTGTAGCATTATTTGGTACTGACATGTAATATGTTCCTTTCTTAAATGTACCATTTGAATATTGAGAACACTTTAAAAACTGTTCCGACTTCCTCAGGCAAAATTGACCTAACATGCAGGGGGTTGTTCTGTGTTGGTTCTTTTCCAACATCTACCTTAGCACGTTAAGTGTATTTACATACCACTGGCTTTGTAACGTTTAAATTTGACATTTAATTTTGACAAAAGTGTATTCACTACTTCAATCCTAACATGTAGCAGTTGCTGGGGATTGTGTTGCGAGCGGTTAAGAAAGATTTGCATTCCAAGAGTTTTTCTGTCATGCCGTCAAATGGGATAACGCTTAAGTTTACACGTGCATTATTGTAATTTGCTTATATTATTATTTGATATTTCATATACCTACTAATTTTGAGACCAAACGAAACGACTTGTTATAGTATTTTTTTATTTGTCTTTGTAAATTATTACTTTTTTTGATAATATTCATTTAACATGTCACGGTACTTATATTGTGCTATTATTAATTTTTGTATTATTGTCTTTCTTTTTTGGTAATGCGCTTTGTCTATATGCCTTTTTGTTTTTCTTTGTTGACATATTTGTTTGTGTTATGGTGATTAAGATTATAACACAATGTTGACTGCTGTACCTCTATTTACATTTTTGTTTGTTTTGTTCACACATCATTATCAAATCATAGGAATTTTATGCGACTGTCATACAAGTGAGAGGTTAAGCTAGCTATAATACCATGTTTAATCCTCCATTTGTAACATAAAACAAGAGGCTGTCAGAGAGACAGCAAACCAGATTTTCCTGAAGAGATCGAACCCTGAACAGTTGAGCAAGTATGGACACAACATTTAAGCTTAAAACAGCTCTGAATTTGGATTGTGATTGAATATTTGATACAGCATGGGTTTGTGACACAAAATTAATGTGGTAATAGAACTGAAAAATTTGAAATTGAACATTTACCTATTATGGTCCAATATTCAAAATCTAAGTACATTTCTAGAATCAGCATATCAAACAACCCCAAGAATTCAATTTGTGATGAAATACTTCTTAGTTAAACCATTTCTGTTCAAATAGAAATAACTCAAACTTTAACCATAGACTCTAATTTTAGATATGATGTAAAGAGATATGATGCTATATTTATTTTTAAATTGTAATCAAATATAATGAATAGTTTTCTAATAAATCTGTCACTCCAATTATAATTGGGTGATTGCATTGACAATTACCAGATGTGTGTTATCTTATCACTTAGTGTAATCAAACTTTATATATATAGTTGATAGTTCCTAATATTTTTTTCTTTCGTTTGTAACATACTAATATAGATCTGCAACTTATCTTATCTTAATTTTAACTTTGTAACTTATAAATAATAGATTATTGTCTAATGAATTTTCAAATCAAGAACCCCAAACAGGATCAAGTAAAAATTGAAATTAACAGACACAACAAAACAATTATATACATATATCACTCAGAAAATTAGTTTTTACAGAATAACAAACACACCATAAAATTGTTCAAACAATTTACCAAAGAAAAGAAAAATTAATAATGAAAATTATACTTGCAAATCTGAAGGGTTATTTCCCGTTGAACAGAACTATGGTTTAACTTAGTACTCTAACATTACATATATAATTATTAGTAATTTAATTAACTTCAAAATGTCTATCTCTGAAAAACCTATAAAACTTGTCTGTAATTATCTTCAAAGTGTCTAATAATGAACAGTTAATTTTAAACCTCATTTATACAGTCCTACTAGTAAATTTCAAACTTTATATATACAGTCCTACAGATCTTATCAGGAAACAGAAAATTTTCAAATAAATCTGTCACTCCAATTATTATCATATGCTAAGATATTTTCCAGATCTAATTAATATTGAAATTCATACATGCAAATCTGAAGGATTATTTCCCTTTTAACAGAACTATGGTTTAACATAGTAGTCTAACATTACATATATAATAATTAGTAATGTAACTATCTTCAAAATGTCTAATAATATAGCTTATAATCATCATCACTTAGGAAATAGAAAATTTTCAAATAAATCTGTCACTCCAATTATAATTGTGAGATATGACATTTACCGTATGCTTATGATTACAAGAGAAAACTATTTAAAAACACCACTTTTGGATATTAAACATTGCAATAATTAAAAAAGGTGAAATACTTCAGGTGAAAATTAAACTTGACCTTCAATTAGTTACGAGAAACAACATATCTAAATTTTAAAAAAAATCATCACAGCGTTTGCATGCTATTGAAGAGACACTGTTCGGCAGCCGCCCGCCCGTCCGCCCGTTCGTCCATCCGCCGTACATCCACAAATCAATAACCGATATTTCCTTCGAAAATCCGGTTAAAAATGCCTGTACGAAGCCAGGAATATGACCACTAATTATGGTGTGATTCTGGTATCAAGGTTGATGAGAGGCTCATCGTCTTCACTTTTTGAATCGGACTCAACCATTGGAGTATCTTCCTGGTAGGCGAAGATTTTAGCTTTCCTGAATCCATTGCCAAAGTCTTTGGTACTGACTTTGCTGAGTTAAAAACTCATGCAGCTACCTCTGGCAGTGAAGCACGGCGAAGTCAATCTGTGGCTGTGAAGGACTTTTCACCAGATTCTATTTTGTATTAATGTGTGATTAAGCTGTCCATGACGAGGAGGACGTATTATGAAGCATTCGGTGATCAAGTATTTCATCATTTCGTTATCCATCCACCCCTTTTCGTTGACTTTAATGACAATGCCTTTTTGAAACTTTTCTTTTGGCATGGTCTTACTTTTAAAGATAAGAATGGGTGGTAACAGCAAACCAGAAGCTGTACACGATAGTACACAGGTGAAGCTGACATTTTCGTGGCCGGTGGTCTTAATGCTGATGGTTTGTGTACCAGTTTTCTCTACTGATCTATTTAGTGGCATGTCAAATGTAAGTGGGACCTCGTCCATATTAATGACTGAGTCTGGACTTATGGAGTAATCTGCAACTTTGTCTATGCAATACTGTCTAAATTATTTTCTTCCCGACTTATGGTGACCAGTGAACATGTAGTTACAGGTAATTACGTAATAACCAAGGTAAACAATGGCAGTTTTATAGCTTGAGTGACCTTTATACAAACTCAGTAGGGTAATTGTTCGAGGAATATTTCACGTTGTAGAGACAGTCGGTCGAAACCTTATATTGGTTATTGATTAATAAAAGAGTCCATTTCTCTCACCAGTGACAAAATCGCAAGCTTCCTGTCCTTTTTATTTTGATGCAAAACAGTCAATTACTTTATCAATGTCAATGGGCGTCACCTTGTATGCGTGAAGGATACATAGACCTGAAAGTCGTTCTGTTGTCATTGTATATAGAAGGTATAGTGGCAGTGGCTACTGGCATTGTCAAAAGAATGAGCAAACAAGTGTTATTAAATTTTTGAATATAGGTCATAAATTCAAGCTTTCTGCAAGAGTACCAGGGATTTGTCCCTCTGCTATAGCTTGTTTGACTTTCTGGCTTCCGTATTGAAGAATCATCTTTTAATGTCTGTGTGTCTGTACTGTCAGATGAAATAGTACTAATCTGACAGTGTAATCAAAATTCTTATGGGTAAATAAATTGTACATTGTAACTAATCAGAACACCTCGCAGACACAATATTCGTCTGCTATAAAAAAAAAAAAAAAGAGGAACATATAGCGCAGAGGATGGGAACGATTCGAACGCCGGTAGCTTGAGAAGTGATGTCGTTGACTTCAACAGCTTTTTTATTTAACCGCACAGTGTCCATTTCTTTTCCAACCTTCTCTGTCTCTTTTTTGCTTATTTCATTTCTTTTATTTTTTTTTATCAAAACGATGTTGAAGCCTTGGCTTCCGAGCTTCCGCCTAGCTACAGCTACGCCAATGATAATTGTCTGATTTTCTAATTGAATTTTAATATATTCATTACGAACATCGATACTTATGTCGAATGAATGTTAAGGCAACAGTCATCAACAAAACCTGCCCATATGTCAAAAGTTAAAAGTAACTTAAAAATACAAAAATTGCAAGTAGCGTGCCTACAGAAAAAAAAGTGTACGCAACTCATAAATTTATTTGATCTGCATGCGTTAGTAACAATTAGAAAAAAATCCTTAATGATGTACAGAATGTAATTAAGTTAAAAGAACTTACTACCAAATTTTATTCTTTATACATATCAGTGTATATAAAGTGCGAATCCAGTTAGTTCATTTTCACTGTCGTACGCGAGTATTACTATCGTAGAATAAAGATGATGGGAAAAACTGCGTTTGTTTACTTTTTGAAAATACAAAATAATTTATTTGAATGTATGTTTTAACACAATTTCATTAGAATATAACTTTTTAATGTATAATAACAGGATTAAAGTCCAAAAAAGTGGAATTAAAGCAGCTGAATCATATACTTTTGATTACTGAATGCGATTCATTTTAACTATAAACGCGATGAGTGCGATAATTTCTGAAATGGAATGTCGTAGATGCTTACTTGCATATACACGGGTTTAACCAGCGTATGGTTGGTTCCGGACGTTATGCGTTGTGTACCGTTCGTCGATTTTTTCTCTGTACGTTCGTTGCGTGTTTTCGTCATAGACTGTACCGTTGGCTAGTAAAACATCGAGAACATAATTTGCTGTTTCTATTGAAATACCTTGACAATTCTAACTTTTCCTATTGAAGATTAAAACATCTGAATTTTGTATTTATTTGACGTAAATCAGAACTTACTGGAGCAAGAGAAGCCCACTCATCGGGAGCGCCTGATTGCAATTCAGTTTCTTAGAAATCCAGTATTTTGATATTGAGGTCAAATGTCAAGCTCACACGACGGTCAGGGTGATGTGCGTTACATCGTCTTAAGGTGATAAGCGTTCCTGTCATTCATATTCAAATATTTTCAGTGAATTTGCTATTAGTGTGTCATGGATCCGAATTATACTGGAGTAGAACATCCTTGAATATAACGTATTTTTAAGGCGAATTTTCTTTGAAAACTTATAGCTCGCTTAAAAAAGCTTTGAAAATGTGTCACGTTGTTTCTTACATATTTCTACCATATTGAAAGGCTTTCGCACAATGAACAGTAAACAAATTTCCAACGAACGGCATTAACCTAAGCAAACAAACTATAAAGATAATGAATCGTACAGCGCCGAAATTCTGAGGTCAGTTTTTCAAGTAAACGTCTGACAATGAAACAAAACTACGGTTTCTCATTTGCATTATGTATTTTAAGCAACAATTAAATCACAAAATACACAGTTGCATTTAGTGTAAGTGCCAAACAACTACATGTTAGCTTTATATGTAGTTTAAGTTACACAGAGTGTTTGTTTTGCGATGCTTACAAGTAATTCACCGACCTGTCTATCTAATATAGTCACAGGGTGTTCATGTAATATAAATAATATACAATGCTGTTAGGAGCAGTAAACTTTGTTTTCATAAACATTGAATAATTTTAAAACTAGACAGAATGTCAATTAGTCTTTGGTGAAAATATTAGGACGGTCTATCTACCAACCTCGATTCGCGATGCAGCGATTAACGTTCGGATTCACAAGTGTACGGCAGTTATACCCCGTGGCATACAAAACCCGGCATACACTCTGGCAGTTCACATCATTCCAGCAATATGTTCATTCGTAAATAGTCCTATCCAAAACATTTCTCCCCTCTCACGTCACTATTACACAACGTCAAAATACGGGAAACAACATTAACACTGTATTGCGTAATGAACATGTAGACAAAGTCACAGTTACAACACTACAACACTACCCCCTCTTCTGTCCCTCCTCTGAGAATGTATGTGGTCCCCAAAACATTAGTATGACTGCATCTTTCTATGTTGTGATGTTACACTATTGTTTCAGGTAGGGTGAAGGTTGGCGCCTATTAAAACGTTTAAACCCGCTGCATTTGTTTGCACCTGTCCTAAGTCAGGAATCTGATGTTCAGTGGTTGTCGTTTGTTGATGTGGTTCATAAGTGTTTCTTGTTTTTGATATAGATTAGGCCGTTTGTTTTCCTGCTTGAATGGCTTAACACTAGTCATTTTTGGGGCCCGTTATCGCTTGCTGTTCGGTGTAAGCCAAGGCTCCTTGTTGAAGGCCGTACTTTGACCTATAATGGTTTACTTTTACAAATTATGACTTAGATGGAGAGTTGTCTCATTGGCACTCATACCACATCTTCTTATATCTATTGTATAAACATAAACATTATTCAAATATAGACATTTCTTCATTACTAACATGAGGTACCAAAAGTCAAAATCTTTGGAGTGAAATACAAAAATACCAAAAGTAAATTTAGTGCCATGTAATTATTTTCCTATGTACTGAGGATTTCACCTCTTGTTTGTACATACCATCAAATAAATTAAATTTTATCACGGTACTGAGGATTTCTACTCTTTTCGTACAAAAATGACACAAGGAAAATATTTTTTAAAGCAGTTTGAATACCCCAACAATATCATAAACTCATTACATTAAATATGAAATAAAAGAATCAATAGTAATACAATATTACAGTCACTTCTATAAAATTGTTAATATTCCAAGTTAAAACAGTTTTTTCACTATTACAATTTTAATTTTCTCATTTCTCTGTTGCTCTCTAGGTGGACTCTTTTTCTCTTTGTCCCACAGTTCTTCAAATCCTAGAATAAATGGGTCTCTTCTTTCAATCCCCTCCTGCAGATGGTCGATATCATCTACTCGTCTCTTAAGTCTCCATTCCAGTCTCTGGACATAGTTTCCAAAGTTACTTTGATCCTTCTGATATTTAAATTTTAGGTTTTTTAGTTCCTTTTTTTAAATTTTGAATTGTCATTGCATCCAGTTTGTAGATATAGGAAGATGTGGTATGAGTGCCAATGAGACAACTCTCCATCCAAGTAACAATTTATAAAAGTAAACCATTATAGGTCAAGGTACGGCCTCCAACACGGAGCATTGGCTCACACCGAACAACAAGCTTTAAAGGGCCCCGAAAAATTACTAGTGTAAAACCATTCAAACAGGAAAATCAACGGTCTAATCTATATAAAAACGAGAAACGAGAAACACGTATGAACTACATAAACAAACAACAACCACTGAACATCAGGTCCAATGCCTACATTAGAATCATCAGTGCTCAGAATAGAATTACCGTGTGGAAGCAGATAAGCCAAAACTGGAGGTTTACACAGAGCTTTTTTTAAGTTTTTCAAACGCTAACTGACACTCCCTTGAACAATTAAAATTAACGTCTTTGCTAGTTAATAGGCTTATTGAAGAAGCTACATCGCTGAAACCTAATATAAACTGACGATAATAGTCCAACAATCCAAGACACTGTTGGACTTTTTTTACATTCATTGGAATTTTTTACTGAGTCCAACTACTTTGGGGTTTGGGTGAATACCATCTACCATCTACTCACAATGTGACCTAAATACAATACTTCATATTTAATGAATTCACATTTTGAAGGTTTCGTTATAGCCCAGAATTTTGAAGAGCTCCCAGAACTTCGCTCAGCTGATCAAAATGATCATCGAGGTTCAAAAATTATATATTATTATATCGTCCAGATAAATAAGAAGTGTTTTCTACTGTAAACCCCTGAATAATAATTCCATACAACGCGGAAAAGTAGACGGAGCATTGTACAACATAAATGGCATTTTAGTGTACTCAAACCAAGCCATATTTTGCTATAAATGCCGTCTTGTGTGGGTCTGCTTCCACCATTTGTGACTGCCAGTAACCCGACTTTAAATCACAAACTGAAAACACCGATGTATTTGTCAAGCAATCGCGACAGGA